ATTTCAGAGATGCTTTAAGAGGAGCTTTAGACTCCCAAATTCCCAGCCCAATATAAAAGGTATTCCAAGATACTAATTTCATCTGTTATCACACACTCAGGAGATAATGATCTGCATAGGGCTCAGTTACGTGTGTGGATGTTATGGTTAGTTTCCAGTGGCCATTGCCACTCATGCAGAATGCAACCAACGTACCCAGTTGCCATCTTTTTAAAAATGATTTCCTCAGCCTTTCGAGCGTCAGATTGCAACTCAAATAAATGCATACGCATACATAAAGCACAGAGGATACATCACATAGTCACAAATTAAATCAAGGTGTATTACATACATCATTTAGATATGCATCACAACTAACCTTGCCCAATTGCTACAAACAACACAGATATATGTAAAACACACATAAGTGTTCTTAGAGGGCTAAAGTCCCAGACGTGAAGTTCTTCAGCTGCAGATCTTTACAGGTTGAAGAATATTAGGTTTGTATCATTTTGTATTAGACAGCACTACTGTACATCTCCAGCACATTCCTGTCTGACATACTACAATCAGGGATAGGCAACCTTCGGCACTCCAGATGTTGTGGACTACATTCCCCATAATGCTCTTACACACATAATGCTGGCAAAGCATCATGGGAGGTGTAGTCCAAAACATCTTCAGTGCCAAAGGTTGCCTATGCCTGTTAATAATAGTAGGGATTAGAGGATACAGAGACTAATGGAGGTTGGCTAGGATAGGAGGCTGAAAGAAAGAGAGGCAACAGAAGTTTTAGGGCAATTGGGAGAGAGACACAGGGGGCTAAACGGAGAATAGAGTAATACAATGACAGGATTGGGTGGTGAGGAATATTGGACTACAACAGATAAAGAATAGCACTGGGAATTTGGACAGGGGCAATTTTGAGGGATGAGTTATTGCATTTCGATGTGGGTTAAAGCCAAGGTTGCGTTGAAAATAGAGCAATCCCTGATTATACAAATCACATATCATACACATTAGATCATATACATGTTTGTCAGTCTCAATGAGGTGTGAATATGTTTACATCCTTATATAGAGGTATCAAGCAGACATAGGGGGATATAAGCTGAGCCTTACAATACTATTGCTAATATATGATCATGATGGGACTTGACTCTGCTTCCTCTGTGTTGGAAACTACAGCTTGGTGTTTTTTATGAATTTACTTTTGCTGAGCTTTTACTTCAATTTCAATGTTTGGAGAGGGGACATATTGACACAAGGTATCATAATGAAGATTCCCACGGACTGCAATAATTTTTACAGCACTGAAATTACTTTCAATTGTTTTTTTTTTTTAGTAAAAAAAAACCTTAGTTATATAAATGACCACTGTCATTTGCAGCAAAAACAAACAAACAAACAAACAGACAGACAAACAAACAACCCAACAGAGAATACTTTTAATTTATAGCTCTGAAATAATAAAAAGTTTTCCCAGTTTGGCATTGCAGATGTACATGAACTACATCACCCATAAGGCTTATCTATTGCTTTATCAAGACCGAGTAGAGAATTTGCAGACTGACAATATTCCATTTCTTGCATCTGTTAATGAAATATTATTTGGAAAAAAAAAAACACAGCTTCTATAAACTACCTCCATTTTGCTTAAATGACATGTTAAGAAAAAAATTCTAACTCACAAAAAAAAATTAAAATAAGAGAGATTTCAAACACACGACTTTTAGCTTGGACCAAGAAAGCTGAGGTTATGCTAATTACGGGTCTTCTAATTAATCATCATACAATTATATTGTCCGACATTCCTTTGCTTTCCCGAGCACTTGGAGGATTTACAAAGGAGTAAAAGAGGCAAATCTCCTAATTGTCCTCTGTAATTGTGACAAATGAGTGGGTTGCTTTAATTGGGCCTCGCTGTTTGTCTATGACCAGAGTCAGACAAATCTTTCCCTCTGTCTGACTGTGTGAGATTCTCTCTATAGTACAATATCATTATGTTAAGTGAGTGTAAGAATAGAATGATATGTGTGATTGATCATACTGGGCTAGAAAACCATAAAATACAAGCTACACCTGGACTACACCTCATATCGTCTGCTAGTATTGTCTGAAAGATCCATTTGGCAATCAAGGCTGATTGTAGCATATTATTAAGGGTTCAATAAACAAAAAAATGAAGAAAATAAAAAGTAAGAAACAAAGAATAAAAAGAAAAGAAGAGAAAGGAACAATTTATCACGGATTTCTACTTTCAGAAGATGAACGATAACGTCACATTGACAAAGCTATTTTCCCCAACCAGACTGGGGGAAACAGGGAAGCAATTTTCTTTTACACTTGACTTCCTGTTTTGTCTTCAGACACACACCTGCTACGAACATGTTCAGGAAGTGAGATGTGCAAAGGTAATAGCTTCCCCCATATGTTGAAAATCGAGATATATAGAATTTCAAAGAGTTTAAGATTTTCCAAGGTAGGGGAATTTTTGGGAACTTTTATATGCAAGTGGTCTGTCCTCCAAAGGTTTAGTGCACTGACTATGCATCATAGTGAGATATGCAATGAAGGCACCTAATGCAAATAAATTACCCTACTGTATTTTGGCTCATGTGTGGTTCTTCCAAAAGAAAATTGTAGGACCCCTAAAGAAAAACCACAGTGATTTTTATGAAGATCTCTCTCAGAACTCTCTGTGGCAGCTATGTTCAGGTGTGGCAAACCTTTTTGAAATTGTTTATTTTGCCGCACAGTCCAATCTGGACATTTCCTTAAATCAATTTAGATTTATATTGAGACATTAGACCTACCAAGTACAATTAAAAGTTAGATCAATCAAAAGGTTTCTAAAAAAAAAATAGGCCAAACATGTCTGTTATGCTTTTATTAAACATGAATTGAACCAGGAATGTTACCCAAATTTCAACATTAACCCCTTCACATCAGGTCTCGCACATACACAATTTACATGGTATGCACCCATACCCCGTAATTGTACATACTTCATTTTTAACATTGCAAATTAAATTTGTAAGTTTTTTTTGTAAACAAATGTCTTGAGGCCATTACAGCGCCGGCTTTCCAGGAAGCCCCTTTTTTAAAGATCTCTTTTCCGGGTCCTGGGCAGCTTTCCCAATTGAAGGAGCTGCAGGTCTGTACTTTCAGTAAATGCAGATCACTGCTGATGCTCCCTTGCAGTCACACACAGTGGTCTGCACCCACAGAAGATGAAGACAAGCAACTCAGCCCACCGGGGCACCGGGGAGTCCCACCAGACAACCAGGGGACTGAGATTAGACTCTGCCTCTGCCAACCCAAAAGGTAAATAGGCAGTAGGCTCTAATAAATAATAAATATATATTTTCCTGAAAATAAGACATACCCCCTAGCTTATTTTTGGGGGATGCTCAAAATATAAGGGACTAGGTGGGACTATATTGGAAATCGCACACTGCATAATTAAGTTTCATTTTTTTCAAAATAATTTTTTTAACTACTCTAATATCATAGATATTGCGGAGAGATTTCCGAGTTTTACTTGATTGAACTCCAAACTAGATAAATTCAGAAGTGTGTTTTAAAAACTTTTTTTTAAATTTATTTATTTATTTTTAAAATTCTTTATTATGTTGGGCATTATTATTCAATCACATGGTATCAAGAACATGTCATTGTATGACTTTAGAACAGCAAAAATGCAAGTATTTTTCGTCAAACATGTCAGATGCACTGCACATTTTTCTTTTTTTAAACAAGTCTAACGTGCGGGTTACTTATGTAACAGTCTAATGTATAACAAGGCATACAGTGAGGCATACATGGTAAACAAAGATTACAGTATTTCCTTGCTAGTGGCCTGATTGTCCTAAGCTGAGGTGTATCAGAGTGTGTCTATGCTTGTATTGATGGGCAGGTGTTGGGAGGCGCTTCGGTGTGGAGATGTGGGGTCCAGTGTTGAGGCGTCTAGCTTATGGTGTCTTTTATTGGGGTCCTTATATGTGTGTTGGTCCTAGGGACCTTTGTCAGTTGAGGGGGTGTGGTTTTGGAGCGTGTGCTCGCGCTCGGTGTATCGGGTTAGCCTCTCATGCAGCTATGTGTTGGTGTGGGGTTTGCTTTTACTTAATGGATGACTCCCAGTCTAGGGGCTCCCAGGTAGGGGTGGTGGGATTTTTCTACGCTTAGTGCTCTCTGTGATATTGGGGAGCGCCCTCCTATTACTCTTGTGTGATGTGTGGTTGCCAGCTGGTTAACGTATAGGTGAGACAGCAATTAAGGAAAACAATGGGGTTAAGCATAGCTTTTTCATATGAGATATTCCGTATAGGGAACCAATGAGAAAAATGATAGTAAAAAATTATTAAAAAAAATAAAAAATAAAAATGCAGATAAACGTATACTGTTGGTCATCTGCTCTTTGTCGAAGTTCAGGTTACTGGGTTCGGTCTATCACCATTCCTTGGCACAAATGGAGTTATGTGGTCTGGGTCTCAGTCCTGTTGTCTGCGGGAAGCAGGCAGATTGGTTTGTGCGTTTGGAATGTGCAGAGCTTGGAACATTGCAGGGGCCTCTGCTGGCGAGGATAGCTGGTATGTCACTCCGTTCTTCTCCACACATAGGGGTCTTGGCATCGACCATCTGTAAGAGATCCCTGCAGCGCGTAGTTGGCCAGTTACGGGGCTCATGGAACGTCGCCATTAAAGGGTGGACCAGTGCAGGTCCTGGTAGGTATAGGGTGTTTTCCCCCTTAATGCCGCCCAGATGTGGCCTTTATCAAGAAGCATTTGACACCTGGCTATCACATCTCGTGGAGCCGTCGCAGGAGCTTTTGGAGATTTGGTGATACGAAAGCAGCCGTCAAAGACTATCTTCTTGGCTTGTGTTGCCGGTATCAGTGAGGCCACCAAGCGTCGCAGATAGTGCGGCAGCTAGTCAGGTAGGACTGGATATGGGATGCCTCTTATTTTTATATTGGCCCAGCGGCTGCGGTCATCAAGAGTGTCAGCTCTCAGGGCTAAGGAGGTTTGGGTTTTCTGCATTTGTTGCATTGCTTCTTTGATAGTGGAGACTTCTTGGCGCAGGTCAATTATAACCTCCTCCGAGGCCTGGGTTCTGGTTGTCACTGCTTGCACTTCTACCTTCACCAGGTCGAGATCTGCTGCAAACAACTGCTTGATGTTCTGCAGCAGGTTTGCTATGTCTTGTTTTGTGGAGGGTGTATTAGGGTCCTCTTCAGGAGTTCCTGCGGGTGCTTGCGGCCGTTCTAGGGGTACGGGGTTCAGCTCCTCTGCTGTTTGTCTGGGCGGTGGTGTGCAGGCCTCACCTTCCACTTCGGTGGCCATTTTGGAAGGCCCCGGCCGCTGGAACATTATGCCGATATCTTGGGGGTTGTTCTTGGGATTGGTGACCCATGTTGTGTGTGGTCTGGTCCTGGGTCGGTCTTCCAGCCGAGTAATAAAGCAGGTCCTCCAGTGATAATGGCAACGTGAAGGTTGCGGGCTGCTCACAGGCGTAAAAAAGGCCTTTATCCGTCGGCGTGGTGACTTGCCTGCCGGAGGGCACAGAAAAGGCATCTGGCGGCTCCACACCATGCTGGGGAGCAGAATCAGCGGAGATTGTATCAAGGTATTGCGTTTTGCCTAGTAATTTTAGTCGATTTTGTGTAGTTAGAGCCGGAGCTCTAGATTATGGCGACCGCTCTGTTCTCCCTACAGGCTCCGCCCTGTTTTAAAAATTTTAACATAGTATATTAATATCTCATTCATGTTACAGAGCTAAGTTTAACAATTTGCAAGACTTCAAAAAATTATATTTATTAAAGAAACCAATAGATTAATATTTTTTTCCAGGGCAGTGTATAAAGAGTGTATCAAACACTCTGCTACTTTATGTTGATTAAAAAGCAGAACTACTGAACTTAGAACTGGGTATTGGCACAACACATAAAAACCACAAGATTATTAGTTTATCTTTTCTTCAAATTAAAGGGACACTCCAGGCACCCAGACCACTTTTACCCATTGGAGTGGTCTGGGTGCCGACTCCCACTACCCTTAACCCTGCAGCTGTAATTATTGCAGTTTTCATAAACTGCAATAATTACATTGCAGGGTTAACTCCTCCTCTAGTGGCTGTCTACTGGACAGCCACTAGAGGGCACTTCCTAGTTTCTAGCACAGGTTTTCTGTGCTAGAGTGTCGCTGGATGTCCTCACGCTATGTGAGAACCTCCAATGTTGCTCAATTTCCCATAGGAAAGCATTGAAAGCATTTTCAATGCTTTCCTATGGAGAGGTCTAATGCGCGCGCGTGCCGCGCATGCACATTTGGTCTTCCCCGCGCATGCGCGATCGGTCTCCCCCGACGGATGACGTCAGCGGGGGAGGACCGTGGGCGGACCCGAAACCACCGCCGAGGGACATCGGTGGGGCTCTCAGGTAAGTCACTGAAGGGGTTTTCACCCCTTCAGCAACTTGGGATGGGTGGTGGGAGGGAGAGGGGACCTGCAGTGCCAGGAAAATGATTTGTTTTCCTGACACTGGAGTGTCCCTTTAAACAATTAGCTGTAGTAGCTGAATCTACGCTACTCTCAAAACTAATGGTGTAATTGGGGAAATACATATGGACACCAGTGCAAAATTCTGTTCTTGCTCTGTATTTAGTTTAGGAAACACAAACAGGGTTATTCACTAATGTGCATACCGCACAAGTGTTCCAATTAAGGTGGAACAGTGCCAATTTTGGGCCCAATCCCTGTCCCTCTTTTCTATCCTGATGTCCCTCATTTGTAGGAGCTCCATATTGTTGGAGTGTCTGAAGGAATAACAGAGTTCCACAGCAATGCTACTCACAAGTTGTGTCGTTAAACTGCAATAAATGTGTTTAGAAATCATGTAAATAAGATACATTGCTGTTCTATATTTTATTTTAGTTACATACATTTTTATTAGTAAGTCACCTAAAATTTCCCCCACTGGCCACACCTCTACTTACAGCGCTAACACTAAGTGTCCCTGTCCATCCGTTTAAAATATTTCTACAAAAGTCTAAGTCAAAGTAAATTCAAAATGAGTTTAAAATTTTAGCCCTAAAAACTGATTGGAAAAAGGTCAGCTATGTCTTTTTTTTTTAGCTGTTTTGACTTGATATTCGAAATTCAGTTTAAATTCCCAACAATTCACATCTTTTATGAATATCTCTTTTGATGTGTTTCTAAATAAGTTGAAATTCCTGCAATATTGGCAAAGGAACTTTGCGAAATTTAGGACAACATATCTGAACTGGATGAGTTCCTAAACTCTGCAATTACTCCTACTTGGCTATGCACTATTTTAATTTTAAAAAAAATATGAAATTTCACTGCCAATTCTTTGTTGAGCAAACAACTTATTTATTATGTTGATGAATTAATGGTACAAGTTTAGCTCTCTGTCCACATATTATGAAGTGCAGCTTGCAATGATGGTACTTTATAGGTTACGATGATGATAATAATAAGTTATTGGTAGATCAACGAATTAGTATCAAAACTGAAATTGCACAAATTATTAATACAATGGTACTATTCTGGTCCAAATGACTTGGTAACTAGGCAGCTTAGTCATTGTTATTTGGGACAGTTCCTAGAATGCAGGCGCAAAATAATCCTATTTGTTTTTATTGTGTTGATGCCACATAAGTGACTTCTCTTTGTGGTTTTAAAGTTGAAAAAGAGGAAGTTAAAATTAATTATTCTGTAGAATTTCACTTAAACAAACTTTGTCCATAGGAAATGTATGCGAAATATCTGACATCATCTTTTTTGTGTTTAAATGACCCCTCTTGGGTGTGGTGGTGGGGATGAAACTCTTAACAAGGGGACTTTAAACACATTTTTGACAAAATTATGACTATATTGAATGATCAGGTTTTACCTGAGAATGTAAACACTTCAGAATAACATTATCAAATAGAGCAACATGGGTTATTTGGGAGCTAATCAGGCTAAATATTAAACTCCACCCAAGAGCTTACAATTCATTAATCTATTTGCACTTAAAATATTTAGCATTTATTCAACTTGGGTGTAAGTGCTGGCTATTCAAGAGGAAGTTACAACAATGTACATTTTTTCAATGGTATGTCAGAGTAACTTTCTCTATTAGTGAAAAAAATACATTATATATACTTATATAAAGTACTTTAACAGGAACAGGGTAGACTGGTCCCTAGCTTCTGATCCAAACCTGTCCTGTTGTGTTGTCCTTCCCTCCTCTGCTGACACCAGAGACCTCAGCAATGATTCTTCAGGATGAAGATTTGTCCTCTTCTCACTGGACAGATAGATATCACCTCCTCTGACCACTCCATCTTGAATGGAGGAATCAATACTGAGTGCTCCCAGTACCGTCTTTAAAAATATGCTCTTGGTCCAACTGGTACAGCTCTCAGCACACAGGTCCTCATTCACCAATCCCCCCAATTAATAGAGACAAGACGCATGTTCAAGGGGTCAAGAATAACCAAAACGCTGGAGGGGCTTGGCTGACCATGAGATTGACTAGATGTGCTCTCGTGGAGCTCCGTTTCAGCCCAGCGATTATATTTAATTCACCTAGGTTTTCAGCATTGCAGGAGCGCCTCCACAATCTCAGTACCCCAGTGACATAATGAGGCGCAAGCACCGCAGGTTCCATGTGCCTGACCATACTAAATTGCAAGATATAACGCGCTCTTTCGAGTGGCCTACACCGCTTGCGTCTTCCAAAGTTGCGCTCGCGGCGAGACTCACAGATGAAGCGTCTGAGGAATCCCTGGAAGATGAGTTACTTACCTCTCCCCGACAGGGAGAAATATACCGGAAAGCAGGCTTGTATAAAGACTCGTCTCCCTAAACAAAAGGAGACATAAAACAGCTGCTCCTGGAAATGCGCAAAATAAGAAAGGCTGACCTCCTGGAGACACAACAAGAGATAGGGGCTATCCAGAAGAGGCTCAATGACGTGGAGGTAAGGGAAACAGCTCAAGACCCAGAGAGACTGCACCGCGCAGTGGCCTCACTGGAGTCCCGACACAGGCGCCACAACATCTGCCTGAGTGGAATACCCGAAGAGGTAAAATGGGAATCACTGCTACCTTATGCTCAATGGCGGTTTGCATCCATAGGCCTAGAGGGAGGTTTGGACCCCTCCATACTACTCACAGCATTCAGATTCAGGGAGGGCTGTATCAACTCAGGCTACAGCCCCCAGAGACACCATTATAGTTACCAGAGACATAGCAGCAGAATCTGCCATTATGACTTGTTCCAGAGCGTTGGATTGTGTGAAGTTCAAAGGTACCTCTATCATGCTCTTCGGTGACATCCCGTTTGCTGCACTGTAGAGAAACGAAAACTGGCTCCGGTAGCTAAGAAGCCGAGAGACTACTCGGTTCGATATTCCTGGGGACGGTGCCCTGATGGTGTCACTTGGGTAAGAAATGAGGACCCACATTAACCTCAGAAGAGGACCCACAGAAGCTTCTCCAATGTCTGAATTGGCTAGATACATCGGAAGAGGGAAAAGCGAGTGGAATTACCAGAGAGAGGGCAAATGGAAACCCCGGGGCAGGCTTAACGCTGACCCAGCTCAAACCTACCAGGCTTGTAGTCCTTAGACTTTGATATATTATCCGTTATAACAGGCAGTTCCCTTCACATAAATGCAAAAGTTGTCTTAGCACCCTATACTATATTTTGTTATGTTTTAGCATTAGTGTGGAGGAAATGTAGTGTGTGCTTAGGGGATGTAATGTGTGTAGTGAATGCAGTGTATGTAGGGGATGTAGTGTGTGATTAGGGAATGCAGTGTATGTGTGTGTAGGGAATTTAGTGTTTGTAGGAGATGCAGTGTGTGTGTATAAGGGATGCAGTGTATGAATAGTGGACGTAGTGTGTGTATATTGGATGCAGTGTGCATGTGTGTATAATAAATACGGCGTGTAAGGGTTGCATTGTGTTTGTGTGTATAGAAAATACATTGTGTGTGTAAGTGCTGAAGTGTGTGTGTATGTATAGTGGATGCAGTGTATGTAAAGAATGCTCTGTGTGTCCTTTTGTTGGGTGAGATAGGGACTGTGTTTTGTGGAAGGGGTGAGAGAAGCAGTTTTACATATTTTCATTTGTATTTTTTTGCATCAGTTATTCCCTGGTGGTCCATTGGTACATTAAGGCTCTCTGTCTCTACCTCTGTCTGGCACAGGTTCTTTTCTCAAGCCCTGGCATAGTGCAGTGTTGGAGCGCTGTTGAAAAAAACAAAACATGCCCTCGACATCCAAGACTATCGGATCCCTGACAACCAAGCTCTCTTCCGAAAAACAAAACCATTACATCAAGGCAGTGGTGTATTTTGGATCTGTGCTGCCATAGGCATGACAGAACTCAGGCACCCCCTAATTTACATTTGCCCCACCCCTTCCTGCCAAGGCCACACCTCTTCCTGTTAAAGTCTAACATACACTTTGACTGACAGAAACACACTCACTGACACACACACACACACAATGATGCAGACACACACACACACACACTTACTGACAGACACCCACCCACAGACACACACACACTGACAGGGATACACAATCACTCAGACACACACACACACACACATTTACTGACAGACAGAAACACTCACTCACTCACTCACAGACACACACACAGGCTCCCTCACAGACACACACACTCACAGACACACACTGACAGACACACACACACAATCACTCAGACATAAACACACATTCACTGACAGACACTCACTCACTCACAGACACACACTGACAGACACACACAGTCCCTCAGACACACAGGCTCCCTCACAGACACACACTGACAGACATACACACAACCACTCACTAACAGACACACACAATCACTCAGACACACACTAACAGACATACACTCACTCACAGACACACTCACTCACTCACTTACAGACACACACTGACAGACATACACACATTCACTGACAGACACGCTGACAGATATACACACACACTGACAGACATCCATACAAACACACACACACACACACACACATCCCCCCCAACACCCAACAGTCACAGATTACTTTTTTAAATTTTAATTTAAATCCACCTAGCCTCCCTACCTTTGGGAGAGCTGGGTGGAGTTTTTATCTGGGGTCCAGTGGGGCTGCTGGCTGGGCTGTTATAGCAGGCATGCAGGCGGGCAGTGAGGGAGCACTGATTTCTGTGCTCTCCCTGCTCATCTCCCTTGCTCCACAGAGTGATGCCGGGAGCCGGAATATGTTGTCAGAAATCAGCGCTCCCTCGCCGCCCACCTGGAGCTCAGCTAACCGCCTGCCCCGAGGCTTACAAGGCATTAGCCTGGGCATTTGGGGCAGCATTGTTTGCCGCCCCCTGGAAAGTGCTACCCAAGGCAAATGCCTTGTTTGCCTTGCACTGCATCAAGGACCGCCAGATCCGGGTGGTGCCCATGCGTCTTATTAGTTTATGACCAGGGCTTTACACAGAATCGTATTGAGCGAGGTGTTCTGTTTCTGTGTAAACCTGATGTACCATGGTATCCTTGGTACTGCGCTGGTGAATGTCTAGAAAGCTGACCCATTCCTTTTTTGTTAAGGGGTCAGAAAAGGCTGCCCCCTATTGTATAGAGCTCTTTGCATCAGATGGAATCCAGAGAATAGAGAGATAGCCGCAACAGGTTGCAGAGGGAAACAGATAAAGTGCTTAATATACATGGTCAAAGTCACCAATTCCAGCAGAGTAGTCAGGAACACCTGTGACAACTTCATAGAGTGTCAGGAGCAAATCAGAGACTATGATTTTTGGGATGTATTTTTAGACTCTCTCCATTTTTCTATTAAACCAAACTCATCAAGATCCTGGGGATCTGGGTTCGAGAAGAAGGCACTGCTCTAAAGTACTGGGGCCAGAGACTGCAAAATTGTGATTGTGGCGCCTTAGAGACTTACCTATCAAAGGAAAGAAACTGGTGCTGCAGAATGTAATTCTTCCGGTCTGTTTTCTGAGGCATCACAAGGGCAGTTTTTCACTTCACCTGGGAAGGACAGAATGAAGCACTCTGTGATGTACAAGGAACCCCAAAAGTGAGGCAAGGGAGCAATGGACATTCCTACCTATGGACATTCTTTGTATGCAACTGTGTGTGCAAGAACCTGAGAAACAATGCAATCAACTTAGCTAGGAGCTCCATGTCTCTTTTTCTCATCCTGCCTATTCCTGAAGGGGGCTTTGCTGGGCAGAGTGGGACAGCTTCATCCCTTACAACTGGGACCCCCTGTGGTTTTACCTAGATATGAGCAAGTTTGTGAGGAAACACCATCTGGAAGGAGTCAAACCAGAACTATTGACCCCTAAACTGATGCACAAACAAAGCTCCCTTCTGCCTCAGCAGAGATTGGGTGGAGAAAAACATAAATCCAGAACAAAATGTTACACTGTATACCCAAATAATGGCAGTGAAGATAAGAATGGCCATCATCCAACTAGGATGTATCAGTCGTGCAATTTACTACTTTACAACAATATAAAAGACTTACTAGAGCTGCCATGAAACCTAGAGATGAATCACTGGAAGCAAAATATTAGGATAAGGGTGGCATTAGTTAATTTGTCAAAAAACTGATCTACATTTTATATCTGTCAGCTTTCAAAGGCCACTATGATTACAAGGGCTTTTTGAGTTCACACAGCAACAAAGCAAGACATTACTAGACATTACTTGGTACATTACAAGACCTGTTTAAGGAGTGTGCAAAGAACTTCTAACCACCAGTGGGTCCATTTAAATCACATTGTACCATGTGCTATGCTGCTGCAGTGATACAATTTTGCCATATCACAAACACAAAAAACCAACAGACTGAGATAATTCTGGGATCATTGTTTGTACATTCCTAAAGATGGTGTTCCCAACACCTTCTCATCCAGAGACAACCTGGTCTCTTATTTTTTTTTTGTTTGAATTCTTTATTTTTGTTGTGCAGGAGGGTACAAGAGATCAACAGACGCCACAACAGCGTATTGCAGGGTTAACATACACTATGTAGTGGCATAAGAATTTGCACATTTTTATCATTTTAACCAGCTTAAGTAGACGATTATACTTGCAGCGTAAAAATAATGAAAACAAGTGAGAACGATTAATGCTTAACAATTTTGTATTAACTACGTTAGTGTCAGTATGGTGTGCAATCATGTTTTTTCTTGTTTCAGGACTATGGTATGTGTTGACCAGGTATGACACAGGCTGCTATGTAGTATCCTGCTCGACTGTCCCATGGCGTGGGTGTCTGCATGTTGTGTAAAGTTTTTGGCATCATAGAACGTTGCACATGTTATATATTAATGTAGCTTTGTCAAGAGTGTAACCAACATGTCAGCTAAGAGATAAGAGAGACAGGTTATTTATTTAGCATAAACAAACTGGCATTATTGAAGTATTATGGGGTCGCATGCTTAGCTGAAGCACATCTTGTCAGTGCGCTGCTTAAAATCACATGCTGAACAATTCGCTGAATCAGCACAAATTCTAAAATAAAATAATACTGAACATATAGGTAACAGGCTTGTTCAACATGTCTAGAGACGTAGTGGAGGATAAGCTGATGGTTAATGCCCATGTGTGCTGTGACAGGCTGGTCTAATAAGAAAGCAACAGTGAGACATAACAGAGTGAGACATTATGCTTTTGAGTTCACTGCAGGATGAAATTAAGTAGAATACTATAACAAATAATGATTGATGCAGTAGTAAAACAATAAAACAGCTGGGTTGCCCCCCACCATTAGTCATACCAGAGGAGGAATTATGCAGTTTAGGTACAGGCTTATGATGTAGCTGGGTCCTGCATGTGGCTGTTTAGCCAATTCCTTTTTCTGGTAGGTTGTCGACCTTGGGGAGCATAAGTTCGCTGGTTTCTCGATGGGGCTCAGTGTCGTGATGTGGCTTGGTGGGTTGGGGTGAGTTGCGGCGTCCGTGCTTGGCTTTTTCCGGTGTCCGTGCTTCGGGCCGCATCCTCTCTGCTCGTGTCAGGAGCTTTCGTTCCTTTTGTCCCGGGTTGCTCGCCCGAGGTATCTTCGGGTTGGGGGGGTGCTTTGGTCTGTTTGTGCGATCAGCAGGCTTCCCCTTCTTTCGAGTGCCAGGCCCAGGGTGGCATTGGTGTTTCCGAGTTCGAGCTTGGGTCCCTAGCTCTGCAGGGAGTGCGGTGTCCCGGGCTCTTTTCTGGATTCGGTCCCAGAATGCTTGGCACACCATGTTGAATCTGTGCTCAAATTGTATTCTCCATGCTTGGGTCTCTGGGCTGTCTGAGAGGGTCGTGTGGTCCGACTCGGCGGCCATCTTGGACGCGCCATGCAGTCGCTGGTCCATGGAGAGATGCCCCTCGTGGAGGTGAGGTTTCCCCAGTGGGGACGGGGATATCCCACGCCGGTCCAAAGGGGGGGGTTGCGGGTTGGCAAGAGGTCTGTGCAGCGGGTCCCGTGTCGGGAGATCGGCCGCTTCCCCCGGGCAGCAGGTCACCACATCTGCCAGGCCTCATTTCCAGTCGGCTCGGCCTCATTGCCATCGGTGCCGATTTCTGGTGTCGCTCCATTCACACTTGTGGTTAATCAGTGTACAGTGTTCAAACCGCTGTGTCCATCGTGGGCATCAGCAGTTTTAAGTAGTTTGGAGATTATTTTGGTTGGATTGTGTCGGAGCTAACGAACAACACGTCCGGCCATCTTGGCTGCCTGGCTCCGCCACCTGGTCTCTTTTTTTTAAGACTGGGCCTATGCAGGAGCAATCTCAGTTGGGGGAAGTAATGTTTTGCTGGTCAAGATCCCTTTAATATTATCATCTCTATACACTATGTCTAAATGTACACCATATTCCATTGTTACTGTGATTGGAGACTTTACTTATATGTCATCACCAATTCCATCTTATGCTTCACCCCTTCTCTTCTATCCACCATAAACAAACGATACAGCAACGCCAAACAATCGTTTGGGTATACTTTAGGCCTTGTCAGAAGCTGATATTAAAAACTCCACATGTGTTCTTTCAAGAAAAAATATTCAGCTTTATTGTATACTTATAAAGAGTACAATACAAATCAGAAATATTACCATGTACAAAAAATAAACAAAAAAACAAACAGGAAAGAAAGAAGTTAGATGCATTTTGCAAGCATTCAAGTGTGTGGGAGACAGAGTTACGCATCAAGAAAAACAGTGTACGTCCTTCCTCATTACAATGTTTTTGATGTTATCAATAGTTTTCTTACTTTTGGGTAGCAGTGCAACCATTAGTGTATTGCCCTTAGCTGCAATCAGAGATGTAGCGGTTGCTCTGCCACTACTAAAGCTCATGTTTACCTACTGTAGGACCTCATGAACATTCTGGCCTATACAAAAACATTCTGCTTTGTTAGGAGGATGGTTTAAAGGAAAGGGCTACTTAAAAAAATAATAGGAATGAGGAAGTTCTTTTGGACCTGTTAATAACAGTGAGCTTCTGTGCTAAATATTAAAATTTACAATTGATTGATGTCTAAATGACAACGGGGATTCTATATTAATTAATTATGTTAGCATCCTGTTGAAAAATAACACATAAATGAAGATCCTTGTGTAAATTAAGGAGTATATGAAACCAGATATTGTGATGTATTAATACATCATTGTATGGGCAATAGCAGGTTGTCTGACCTTTTATTATTAGGGAATGCTAAATTCTAATTTGTTCCTGTATGTTATATATCAGACAGTTAAACAGACGTCCTAATGGCGTTGTTTGGGGCAAGTGCTATTGCTGTTCTCTGGCTCAGCTGAACTGTACCTAACGAGGAGTCTTGTGGTTGTATTGGGCGGTTTGCCCAGAACTGAACAGAATAATTAGGCTAAGAAGAGACACATTTATCTCTCTTTCTAAGCTCTTTAAAAGCAGAACAACCCCACTCTTTTTCTTTTTAACACACAAACAGCTCCAGAGGCTAGTAATGTGGCAAGGAGGAAAAAAAAAAGAGAGAGAAAAAGAAAAGTGAAAATTCACATATGTAAATGAGAAACTCTGGGTAAAATGCGGCCCTGTTATTGTGGATTCTTTTAAAACGCTAAGAAAAGCATGCTCCTTTCACACTGATGTAATCCTAGAAGTTCAGTGGCCTAAAACCTTGACAAGGAAAAGTCTTGTTAGACGAAATGAAGTGGCTTCCCTGGCTGCCAAGCTATACAGTTTGCTCACCTGTAGCTCACCTGCAATGAGGCTTTTAGCATCTGTTACCAAAATAATGGGGACAAAAGAATGGCCTATTTATGTGCATCTCCACCCATCAAATTATCCTTAGTATCTGCAGGGCTGGCAAATAAGCTTTGTGAGCCTTTTTGCAGTATCTGGGGAATGGTTTTTGACATAGAAATTAAAAAAGCAAAATTTTTAATATTATATTGTTATGCTCACAGCAGATAGAGACACAGAATGCTTATAGACCAGTCTGCATATTAAATGGGCTAAAAAAAAGTCCTACTCCACAGGGAAAAAGTTTTTTGTGGTCTACCATTGTTACAGCCAACACTTTGGCTTATGATAAAGCTAGTCCCAAGACTATTGCACTCCAACTGAATTATCGATCCCTGGATGAAATCTTTAATGGTTCTATTAAGGCTGCCACCTTGCTCCAAAATCTTTTTCTGTTTGAATTGTTAATTTAATATCATTTGGTCCTCTTATAAGCTCTTGAATGTTTATGGAACATCCCCATCAAATTAGGGACAGCATTCCTCGATACAGAGCTGGCAGGCAGAATTTAATGGTGTTGGCCTAAACATATCTTTATTTTTTAAAAATGTGCTAAATGTCTGACACCCAGGATTGTAGAATTTTATCCCCCATGCTAGGCCTATTTACTTATAATATGTGAATAATTGAACCACTGCATTTGAGTTTAGGTCAAGTGGGGAAACTACCTAAATGAAAAGGTCACCTTTAGAGTAATGGCTTAGAAACCAGCTGTATTGGAAAGCCTTTGATCCAGATATTATCTATATATCTATCTGAGCATAAGCATGTACTGGAGGGTTGTACTGGAGGGTTGTCTTCCGAGCAAGGGCAGATCCTGGGTCTAAATTTGGAAGGAGCACTACAAGATATAGTGGCAAAGAATTAATGTAATCAATATAGTTTCATGGTCCCATCCCCTGACCTGCACCATTTACAGACTATACAGGTATAAACTCACAAATCTCAATACCCCTTACCACTGGTAGTGCAGATATTGGACAAATGGCAGTGATAGGCTATTTGCATTGATGACTGGGTGTCACTGCTTAGAGCTCGCAGTATTCTCCTATTGCACAGGGCATATAGTGGATAGTGGTGATATGATGTCATAGCCCTTCTGCTGCCAGCGGATGCTCCAACCATTACTTTCTTTTCACACTCAAGAGTAGCATGTGCCCAGTTGCTCCCCCTCCCCAAATCATCAGAACTTGGGAAATTTTACTATAGAGGACACAGACTGTACTGGCCTCTTTATCTCTGAAATAGAGCTGTGCAAAATGTCTTGGATTGGTCATTCACCAAGCACTGTCAATCCTATACTTTATATGTTTCTAATAAGTTAATGGGAACATGGACTGAAGTGTTCCAACATGAAAGGCTTATTACCCCTTTTGTTTGTCTGCTCCTATTAACACCACGCATAGACCAGAAAAGTTTTTTAAAAAACTGTTAAAATACTTCCCATAGGGTCTTTATTTTTCACATTATATGAATTTCTTTCAATGTATTATGCTGCTCTATCTCCCTCACTGAACTGCAAAAAATGCAGGTGCCAGTTATCACATTAGATTTGGTGTTTCAAAAACAGAACAGCAATTTAACTAAGGTTAGTCAATGCCCTAAACAAGCAACAGGTACTGCAGACAAGAAAGACCCATGCTTACACAGGTCGTGCCAAGATGTGAAGGAGGTACTCGCTACATCCGATGCCCCAGGAATGCCACAGCAGTGGGATTTTGATGATGCTTAATGCTTCTGCCCTTCGTTCTCTGCTAATCTGCCGCCATGTTACGCCATATGCCCTGGAGTCAAAACCTGTGTGGTCAGAAAACAATATCCTTTGAAACACTGTGCTAGATCAATATTATGGGCCATTAAAAGAGGTCACGACCTACACACACATAAAAAAAACCTTGACTCAAACTAAGCTAGAGAAAAGTGGAAAATACATTCAAAAACAAACAAACAAACAAAAAAAAGATCAAGAAAGCTGATAAAACCACAGAAATCACCTGTAAATGATTAAACCAATGTGGAAAGACTCAGTCTGGTAAATAACATCTCCAAGTCATCTTTCGCATATACGCCAACAAAAAACTTAGTCTAAGAATTTAACCCTTAAACTTAAGAGTGGACAGTAATGATATTCTTTACCATGTCCAAGCTAAGATCCACTCTTTCGGTGCTTTAAAATATATCACACCACAGGGCAACACAGCTCTTCTTCAAGGGTCCTTCAGGTTTTACAAAAACAATTTTGGTCAAAACTTGCCAGATCTACCTTTGATAGGGGAATTACGAATCACTTGAGAATATTTCCTCGTAGTGTTGCTGAGTCACTATATGGATTATTCATTTGATTAATGGGATCAGTGTTGAAAATGGCACCTATTCAGCACCTGAAATCTTTTTTTTCGGGAGCCAATATTTAAAAAAACTTTTTACAAATATTTGCATGGCTCTTCTGCCCGGGAATTGGTAGGGTTAAAAGCCTCAAAACGTATTTGTCAGATGATAGAGTTCTACATTAACACGGAGCAGGGGCAATAAAAGGCTTGAAAAAACAGGGGAACAGATGCATTATAAATGAAATTGCCACAATGTATACTGGTCAGTTAGATATAAAACAGGGCATGTAAAGTATATTCCTCTGATTACAGCCTTGGCCAATTTGATGGAACATCAAATTGGCCAATGTATATTTAAATTAGAACTACAACCTTTTTAATGTATATCAATGGTGAAATAACACATTTTTTGTTTTTGTGAAAAGCACACTTGCAATGAGACATGTAGTGCAATCATATCTAAGTTTGTCCAAACTGAGTTAATCCCTTGCAAATTCTATCTATTAATCTATCTATCTATCTATCTATCTAATAGCAACATTAGTTATGGCACATTATCATAAATAAATCTTCTGGATGTACATTAAGATTAATAGAGCTACAATAAATACAACTATCCATCCTGGACATTTTAGCAGACCATTTTTTTCCCGCTCTGCATCCCACAGTACACAGTATTTGTACTTCAGCAAAGGGTTGTGGGTAGGAATATGAAAATGGCAACCTTTAGAATCTCAAAGTTTTATCTATCTATCTATCCATCTATCTATCTATCAATCCTTATGTAACGTGAATTGCCAGCTTGTGATGAAAGCATTATTGGAATTTCATTATCAGAGGGCTATTGCCTCTGTTCCCAGAGCTGGCTTAGTGAGTTCCTTTTGAACTTCTTAGTTCCTGGTTTACTCCCGGGGCCTGGGTGAGGCCTACATCTTTATTATAGCAATGTCTGGCTCCTGCAGACTAACTGTCAACCTGTCTTCGTATGTCCCACATGATGAAAGTCTCAGGACTGGTATGGGAGTCTGATCTGATGGGAATGTCCGTTGTCACTAATTTGAGTTATTAAGGCTTTTGTGAGCCAGATAGGCTTGGACATTTCTACCAACCATCTAATCAACAACTTTACATTTGCTTATTAAGTTAGTGCCTTAGTTACGGTCTGGAGAATGCTTTGTGTACAGAGAGCAACATTGGAGCACTTACTAGGCAGCAATATTGAATTTAGAACAAACACATTTACATGCATGTAGATTGTAAGCCTGTTTGAGCCTCAACACCCTCAGTTACTGTGCATCCAACTCATCTGGTTACAAATACTTGTCTGTTAGTCCACATATTGTATAGCGCTGAGGAATTAGTTGATGCTTTATAAATAATAATTACAGTCATTTTTGTCATTATTACCACAGATTGACACACACTGACTGTAAAGCAGCATAAGGTAGATATGTCAAAGCATCTCGAATAGAACACTATTATAATTATTCTTACTATTTTTGACATTTATATAGCGACAACTTATTCTGTAGTGCTATACAACAAGCATGTCAAACATGCGGCCCATGGGCCGCATGTGGCCTATAATGTGGCCCAGGTCCGGACTGGCCTACCTGGATACTGGGAAGTTTCCTGGTAGGCCGCCTGCCCTGGGGCCGCTTCATGCTGCGGCCCTCCTACTTGCTGTGGCCATTCGCATTCTCCTGCGATTGACCGGCGGCCGCAAGAGAGCAAAACATTCTTCCACACAGGCTACCGCATATGGAGTCATATCCAATGGCTGCGCGGTGGCACTACAGTGAGCAGAGTGGCTGGCTGGGGGAGGGAGGTGGAGCAGTGTATTAGAGTGGTGGGAGCGGGAAGTTTGTTAAATTGGTGGGAGGGGGCAGTGTGTTAAATTGGGGAAGGGAGGGGGAGGGCATTGTATTAAATTGGAAGAGGGGATGGAGCAGTTTATTAGAGTGGTGGGAGGGCACAGTGTGTTAAATTGGTGGGAGGGGGCAGTTTGTTAAATTGGGGGATGGGAGGGGGAGGGCATTTATTAAATTGGGTGAGGTGATGGAGTAGATTATTAAGCGCTACGGAATCTGTTAGCGCTATATAAATGGCAATAATAATAATAATAATTAGAGTGGTGGGAGGGCGCAGTGTGTTAAACTGGTGGGAGGGGGCAGTGTGTTAAATTGGGGGAAGGGAGGGAGAAAGCAGTGTATTAAATTGGGGTAGAGGATGGAGCAGTGTATTATTGGGCAGAGGGGGCATTGTATTAGAGTGATGGGAGTGGGGGCAGTGTGTTAAATTAGAGTGGAGGGAGGAGGGTCAGTGTATTAGATGGGGGAGGGAGGAGGGGCAGTGTATTAGATTTGGGGGCAAGGTAAGTAATCTGATTTGAAGCTTTTGAGTAAATTAAATATATGTACCCAGGATTGTACATTGTTTGCATGAGAATGATACAAGTAATTTTAGTTTAGTGTGGATCTAGGTTACACACTTTTTTGCGGCTCACGTAAACTTCGACCTTGTTTATGTGGTTAGTGTTAGCCTTTGAGTTTGACATGCTTGCTATACAATATTGTATAAGGGGGAAATTTAACAACACATGAAACAATTCCAAAATATTACAGGAACAATAGGTTGATGAGGACACTGCTCGAATGAACTTACAGTCTAGCGATATGGCAATGATAATAGATTTGATACATGTGCATAAAATAATTAGTTACAATGAAAATAACTAATGCAACTACAAATACACAATGCATAAAAAATAATGACAAAAGAATGTTATTTTCTTTCAATACTGCTTTGTACAATTACACCCATGTGAAACGAGAAGGAGGCAAAATTAACAAGAGAAGCAATAAGTAAATACATGATAATGGTAGTGAGCGCATAGTGTGCAATTTGCACATTTAAACATAATTTGTGCCTGGTTTCTAGGGGATGATGAATTAAAATGAATCTTGGCATGAAGAGAAAATATAAAAGGGATACTAAATCTATAATTCTTCACTCCACTACTTGATTTATTTATTGAAACAACAGTGTTACAATTATTTGACATTTTTACAGTGAGGGCTTTTACATTATGTAAAATGATCTCTTCAGAATACCTCTTTAGAATATTGCAATGCCCAAAAATGGTAACTGCATGAAACAATGCAAACATTTGTTGCCTATAGTTGTTTAAAATATACATATCAAACAGCTTTGCTCTCCAGTCTCCACAGCAGCTAAAGGGGCAGTATAGTGTCAGGAACATAAACATGCATTCCTGACACTATGGTGGGAAAACCACTGAGATCATTACATTTCTCATAGCAAAGTACTGGGAGGCTATTTTGCATGGTTGGCACAAACGTTGCGCTGCACCAATCAGCATCTCCTCATTTAGATGCATTGAATCAGTGTATTTCTATGGGGAGCAGTCATATTCTCCATGCAGAGTGTGGAGACGCTGAATATCAGTGCTTGACACTGTGCAGCACTAACTGAGGAAGCACCTCTAGTAGCCGTCTGAGTGACTGGCACTAGAGGTGTTACTAGGCAGCAATGTAAACACTCTGGCCTTAAATTTGAAATTTACTTGAATAATGTTTACTTATATTTACTTCAGTGGATAACCCTGTTAGTATCGTCATGTTCTGCAGTGAGTGGACACTCTTTTGTTAAATTTGCCCAGCTATTCGAGTACTTACCCCCAACCTCTAGAATTGTCTTTACTGGATTTATGTGTATTGCATTTATAGGTGGAATTTAGCCCTGAGGACAATTGTATAGTTTGGATTTTTCAAACATTTTTTATGAGCTTGGTCGCATCAATATAATTTTCTCTGATTATAGTTTTTCTGTTTTTCTTTTGTTTTTTTAAAAATTCTTTATTTTTATTCGTGCATAAGGGTAACAGGCGAATTTGTACTGCCACAATAGCTGGTACA